TGATCGAGTACATCCTATTTCGTGTATAGTGCCAAATAATTCGATCCGAACATCCAAATGCACTAAGCGGCTAACTTAAGATAATGCAGGCTTCCTCATTATTGAAACATCATTCAATCACATCTATCTTCCATTTACCATCAGGTGCCACTAGCTGCTCAACCATTTGCGGCATCTCCTTAGACCTTGAAATAGGAATAAAAGTACGTGAAATAAGTAACCAGGGGTCCTTCAAAATCCGAATACTCCGGCTATCTCTAACCCACCATTGTATGCCTCCTTTCAAAATTCTTCATCCTTGCAAAATACCCTTCCAACCCCAAGAAGTTCCTCTTCCCACTGGTACATCCAAAAAAGAAGAGGAAAGGTAATATTTCCCTCGAAGAACCTTTGCCAACAAAGAGTCTGGATTACAAATAATACGCCACCCAACCTTCGCTAGCATGGCTAAGTTAAAAGAAATAATTTCCTTGAACCCAAGCCTTCCAAATGTCTTACCTTTTGCCACTTTACTCCTAAGCCAACCAATGAACCCCCTTATGTATTTTTTGGTCCTTCCACCAAAAACAGGCAATTACTTGTTCAATTTCCTTTGCCAATTGAATGGGTAATTGAAAGCAGGACATAGCATAATTAGGCAAAGAGTCGTAACACTTTTAAGAAGTACCTCTTTCCATGGCAACCGATATAAACTGTTTCGCCCATCCGTTAATTCTCTCCTCCAGCCTATTCCGTATATCTTCAAATACCTTCTTTTTCGTGACCCCAAAATCCGCTTAGATACCCAAATACTTGCCGAAGTTCTCTTGATATTTAATCCTCAACACCTCTGATAGCCAGATCCTTAATGCTTGTGAACAACTAGAACTAAAGTATGCTGAGCTTTTCTCCAAATTCACAAATTAGCCCGACCCTTCAACATATTTTTGGAGTACACTATTAACATTTAACGCCTCCGTTTCCGTGGCTTGACAAAATAGCATCGAGTCATCCGCAAAGAATACATGAGAAAGAGGCTCAGCAACATGGTGAACAGAAAGACCTTAGGCACAAATTAAAAACAAAAACGACGATAAAAGATCCCCTTAGCGAAGTCCTCTACATGGTGTGATATTCCCCGAAGCTTCCCCATTTACAGCCAGACTATAAGAAACAGTTTGTACACACTCCATCACCCACTGACAAAAAATCCCATCAAATCCTAATTTATGCAACATAGCATTCAAAAACGGCTATTCAACACTGATCATAATGCTTAGCCATATCCAATTTCAACGCCATGAAATTGATCCAGTCCTCATTCCCTTACTTCATAGAGTGAAGCAATTCATGAACCACCAGTATATTATCTGAAATTTGTCTCCCGACCACAAATGCCGACTTATTCAGGCTAATTACCTTAGGGATCTCTTTCTTTAATCGATTCTTCAGCATTTTTGAAATAATCTTATACACCACATTACATAAGGATATTGGCCAAAATTGGGACATTTTCCTTGGATTGTCCACCTTTGGAATAAGCACAATATTTGTATGATTTAACTCCTTTAGCATTCGGCTAGTTTGAAAGAAATTTTTAGTCATGCCTAGCACCACACCAACTACCATTTCCCAATGATGATGAAAAACCAATATTAAACCCATCAGGACTTGGTGATTTAGTCGGGTGCATTTGATAGATAGCATGCTTAATCTCCGCATCGATCACCGGAGCAATCAATAGATTATTTTCCAACCCTCCCACTCTACTTGGCACACATGGTATAATTTCCATAAAATTAAATGCCCTATCTGTAGTGAACAAAGATTGAAAGTATTGAACTGCAATACCTTGACTACCCATCTGATCCGTATACCAATTTTCTTCCTCTTCCTCTAACCCTTATATAGTATTTCGTTGCCTCTGTTTCATAATCTGAGCATGAAAAATCTCGTACTTTTATCATCTTCCTTCAACCATTGCACTCTAGACTTCGTCTGCCAATAGGTTTCTTCGTTTTTAATTGCCTTTGTAAGCTCTGCTTCCATCTCTCAAATTTGTAGACCATCAAAAAAGGGTTGCTAATAAGCAATTCAAAGTTCCTCCTTCAAACGACAAATTTCATTTTGTTCATTTCGCCCAAACTTTTTACGCCACATTAGTAAACCATGTTTAACCTTTCTCAAATTAGTCACCAGCATATGGGCAGGAGACCCACCATGAACACTCCCCCACCTTTGTTGCACCATTTCACCACACTGCTTATCCTGGTTTCATCGCAGATCATACATAAATTGTCTTTTCCTCTTAGGTTGTACCACCTCCATCGAAAGAATTAGCATCACATGGTCAGACCTTCTAGAGCCACATGCTTTACACCAGCATTCAGATAACAATTCAGCCATTCATTTGTAGCTAGTGCCTGGTTAATTCTCTCCTGAATAAAACCCTCATCATGTCTGTTTCGCCATATGTATGGGTAACCTTCGAAACCTAAATCCAACAAACGTGAATTAGTAACAAAATTCCAAAAAGACCTCATGCTTGTAGCCGTCCTCATGTTACCACCTTCCTTTTCAGAATTCAATAAAACATCATTAAAATCACCTATCAAGAAACATGGTTATGGATAATTAGCTAAACGTTTAGATAATACAACCAATTGTTGGGCCCTTTTTTTGTCATCCGTACTTACATAAACAACTACAAGCTGCCACCTTATAATGGCGAATCATATCTTCAATATAAAAAATCTCCATATTTAACCAACACCACATCTTGTGCATCTTTCCAAAATACATACATACCACCTGCAATTCCCCTAGGCTCAATAGCATGCCTACATGCCATTCTGAGCCTACACCTTAAGTAATGGTATCTTCTACTTTGATTCTTAGTTTCCATTACAGCCACTACCTCGGGGGAGTGGAGCCGATTTTGCTCCAGGAGATCGTCAACTGTCAGGTCCCCCGCCTCGATACCTTGACAGTTCCAACATAGGATATTCATTGCGATCGCAGAGACCCCTCGTAGGTGGCCTCTGTTAATCCTTCCCAAACCTTGGAGTATTCTTCACACAAGACAAACCTTCCTCAACAATCACCACATGCTCATCATCCTCCTCGTAGCTCTGCCTCTCGTGACGGCCTCAATTATGGGTAACAGGTTAAAAGGGTCAGAGTCCTGAGACAACAATCCATCCTTATACCTGCCCCTATACTCGTACCCACCACATCCATCTCTGCCAATGTAACTGATCGACCCTCTTGCTCCATCACCATGAGAATGTTCAAATGTATGACATGGCTAGGCTGAACAACCTTATTCCTTCCTCCCTTAACCACACCCTCATCTGGATGATCCTCCAACATTATCGGCCCTGCCTTAGGCGCTATGACACCCCCCAGTCCAATAAGCCCAGCATCAAATGCCCTTTCACGCGTCAACCTTTGGCGCTCCCTTTCCTCTGCCTCTCGAGCTCGAAGTTCTCATTGAACTACTCCAGCACCGTCAAACTGTCGCCTCCAAGATAAGGAAGAAGCTGACCCATTCCTCATTCTTGCACTACTATACATCTTACCCAACCTCGACTTCATGTGCTGACCTCTTCCTACTGGCCAATCTCCTCACAAATCAAACTCCGCATCAAGTCCCTTAAACGTTTACATAGCCTTTACATCCTCCACTGATGCCCTCTCTCCAAGAGTTTCCTTTTTACACCACCGAGTAACATGCCCCATTTTACCATAAATAAGACAATAATTAGGCAGCCCCTCATAACAGAAATCAATCCATATCTCTCCATCATCTGGGAACTCCAAATTCGCTCCCCACATAAGAGGCTCTTGAACATCAAATGAAATCTTCACCCGTAGAAATCTTCCACTGTAGTCTTGACCATCATCTTTGTCCACCTTGATAACTGTACCAATCAAACCGCCAATTGCAGATGCTATAGCCTCCATCATATTCAAAGGAGGCACATTATGTAGTTGCACCTACATTGTTGCAAGGACAAGAGGCTCCGCCCACCTAGCATGGCGAGCACCATCTACAACCAATACCAAGTCATCTCGAAATAACCATGGTTTATCCGCCTCTAGAACCCTACTCATATCCCGACGTCCAACGAAGTGAGTCATAAGCAGAGCCCCACCCAAAGCCCTAATCAAGACTTCATCCTTCCCTCTCCATAGACTAGTAAATTGATCAATAAAACCATTCTCATTGACAGCCTTAGTCGAGAGCACCTCTGCCACTACATTGTGATGGAAGCCCAGCAAAGCACCCTCAGTGTCCTTCTTCTCAATTTTGATTCCACCCCTCTCCTTCTCTGACAATGATAAACTGTACCGAAACTTTCCTGCAAACAACTCCATATTCTATCCCGCTCCCGGCTCCATTGCTCCCTAGTATCAGTGGATCCCTCTAGCAATATCCCACCGTGATTCCCACAGCAACACACCAATCCCGAACTGCCTACCTGATACGTGACTCCAGTAGCGCCACAACCGTAATTCCCCACACGATACCACTACTTTTGGTCAAAACAGTGCAGAAAACTATGCGGATCACCACTCTTTCCCATGCCAAACCCCTCTGAAACCCTAGCACACCCCTGCACCGTCGTGCAGCCGTAACCCTTTTCACAAGAAAACCCTAAACCCTTACACTACCATCATATTAATGAGAGTTGCAATTTTTACATGGTACAAGTGCCTTTTGATATGTAATACGTTAAAATGAAAATAAAGATAAACTTGAAACAAATATGTACAGAAAGTGATGATACAAATATGTACCGGAGTAATTATCTATAAATTTAGTATTTTGCAAAATTCGATTTTGAGTAACTAATCTCATCTTAGTTCCCAAATCCGAGTTTCACTAATCCAAAGTTGTTAGAATCTAGATTTCTACAACAATATCTTACACAATTATCTCTTCTCAAAATTTGAAATATTTTTATTCCTAAACCATTCAGCACTACTTCCTACTATCTCTGAGTCTGTTATATTCCTTGAGAAAGAGGTTTAAAAAAACAAAACCCTTGTTTTCCTTCTTCTCTTGTCTTCCTCAATTTTCCTCCGCATTGCATTCTCTCCACGTTTCTTCGCCACACTTCTTCTTTGTCTCCACCAAAAATTGCAGAATAAACCGCCATGGCAAAAACCCCGACAAAAACAGCTGCGAAAGAAACAGTGAAATCCTCAGAGAAAACCCCCACAAAACCCCCTAAAGTTGATGAAGAACACGACGATTTCCTAAAACTTTCACTCTCAACAGGCCACAATCCACCAACGCCTACAAACCCCCACCAGCCTCCTCCACCTACAAACTTCTACCAGCCTCCTCTCTTGGTAACAACACCATCACAACCCTTGTCTCTCTTTGCACAAGCTGTCCCACAAGTGCCACCGCCGCCACTTATCCAATATCATCTCTCACATCTCCCACACAACCCTCCTTCCGCCCCCCACCACGAAACCTCCGGCCCATCCCGCCCTACCCGTGCCAGAAGATCCCCTGTCCAAACCCTCAAGCAAGGCAAGTCAGAAGACATTCCAGCTCCATTCCCTTGGGCCACAACGAAACGTGCCACAGTCCACAACCTCGATTATCTCCTCTCCAACGGCATGAACACGATCAACGGCCACATGCAATGCAAGAAATGCGACCAAAGCTACGAAATCCATTACAATTTGCGCCAAAAATTCATGGAGATTGCGGGCTACGTATCGAAAAACAAATGCAACATGCATGACAGGGCACCAGCTGATTGGATGAATCCCACCTTGCCCAATTGCAAGTTTTGTGATCAGAACAACTGTATGAAGCCAGTGATTTCGAAGAAGCGTTCGATCAATTGGTTGTTTTTGCTGCTGGGGCAAATGCTTGGGTGCTGCAAGCTTTCTGAGTTGAAGTATTTCTGTAAGCACACGAAGAATCACAGGACCGGCGCTAAAGATCGAGTCTTGTATCTCACTTATTTGGGACTTTGCAAACAGCTGGATCCCAATGGACCCTTTGAGATTTAAGATTTGTGGGCAGCAATTAATTAGCTTTTTAATTGAGTTTATGGTTTTTATTTAATTTTTAAGATTATGCAACTCTGTTATTGGTGGGATTTGGGTTGCTTGACTTGTAAGCTTTTGTTTGATATCTTCAAGTATTGGTTTTTAACTTTTACCTCTTATTTGTGTTCACAACGTGCTCGATTTTATGTTTCAACTAGCCTTTCATTCATAAGTCAAAAAGGAGAAGCATGAATAGGAAATAATTGCAATACTTCTATATTGTCAATTAATTGGGTTTCTCACGACAAAATTGCAATGAGATATGTAGACATCTAACGAAGAGTGTTATGATATACATGTGGAAGCCCAAACACTGAAAGATGAAGGCTGTGAAAGTTGCAAATCCAAGTATTATTACTCCACATATGTGCACACAGTGGTCTTTATTTCTCAGCACAATATTACCACGTAGTGTGTCCATATATGTATATACAAAAATAAATTTGCCATAGGGTGGAGAAATAAATTAGTTTTAAACTCGACATCTACAGAATTCGAACTTAACATCTTTTATTTACAAGTGAAAATTAGACTGTAATAATAGATGACATGTTATAACGATTTATACACACCAATTACAAATGAGTTTCTCTATGTGAGAGCAAGAGGGCTACACTTGAACATAGAGATGAAAGAAAAATAGGGAGAGTATATACACTATACTTTGTACTCCTTTTCTTTTTTTTTTTTTTTTTATTGAACAAACGATATTATCTACACTAGGGGGCTTAGCCTCACAACGAACTGGCAATAATGTGGTTCAAATTCGTCTTTGGTGAGAATCGAATCTAAGACCTCTCACTTATAAGTGAAGAGGTATACTATTAGACCGTAGTACTAAGTGGCTGTACTCCTATTGTTTTAAATGATGAAATGAACTATTTATGCTCCAAGGACGGCCGTAGGTTCTCTCGTCTAGCCTAGTAAATATTGTCTCTGTCATATTTAGTCTATGTTACAAACTTGGAACATATATTTATTTCACATAGTATAATATTCTATTTTATAACTTTATCAGATGGCCAGAATACTTCTTTTGTATTCAAATAGGAATACAGAACACTATCTTATTTGCTCTACATGAATATAAACCAGATACAAATGACTTTGCAGAAAAGCTAACAAGAATCGACCAACATTTATACGTTTCAAGTAGTTTCGCTGTGTAAAGAATGATTTTCCTTCATTACTGACTGATTTATGTTACAAATTATACAATTATAATCAACTATATATGGATACAAAATCAATATAAACTATAGGCGGAAAGGAATCGTTGATCAGAAGGTAAGTTACATTGGATTTGAACAAAAACAAAAAGGTGGCACGGATTGGATTCTAAATAATCTGTAGCTCTAGGAAACATCAATGAAAAAAATCGGATTCTAAATAATTTCCTAAGGAAACATCATCTAGTCCTTATATAAATATCATATAGCAGGGCTTGGTCTTTCATTCATAACCGAAAAGGAAGAGAAGCATGAATAGTGGGGCAATGGCATATCAAAAGTTTTCACTGGCAGCCTTTGTGGTTTTGCTCCTTCTGGGGTTTACCTCATGTTCCACATTTACCTACAAACCCTTGAATTTTAGAAAGTTAGAGGAAGGTCACTATCCAACAAGAGAAATCGATTTTCGTATTCTGCCAAAGGGCACACTAATTCCACCAAGTGGTCCTAGCGACAGAACATCTTGTAATGAGGATAACAATTTTTGTGAACCTCCTCCTCCTGGTCTTCTGTTGGAAAGGAAAATCAATTTTGGTACTCTGCCAAAGGGTACACTGATTCCACCAAGTGGTCCTAGCCGCAGAACATCTTGTAATGAGAATAACAATTTTTGTGCACCTCCTCCTCCTGCTTGGCGCTCTTAAAAGATCAGTTATTTGTGAGCATTTCGTAGCAACGACACCAGAAACAACAATTACTACTTCAAATGATGTGTCCTATGACATGTTTCCTTATAAGATGTCCATAATTGACACTTACCAATAAATTCAAGTGATATCAATGAATCAATGGATATATATATATATATATATATATTTTTTTTCTTTTGGCTTATTATATTAACACCACACTAAAAGGCTCAATCAATACTATCCTTGATAAACAAATCAACTATTACATCGGAATATTCTTCAAACCAAGAGACTGGTTGTGCACTAGTAGACTCCGAAGCGCGCCAACCTGTCTACTACTTCGTTAGCTTCTCGTTAGCTTCGCGCACCATCTTTGTCTGTGGAGGAAATGTACAAACTCATTTAACCTACAACATAGTAAACAATCTTAACCAAGGACTGGGGGTGTCGACCAAAGCTCTCTGACAGTCAAGTTAGTGATAAAATATATGAGACTCAAGCACTAGCCAGGAAAATAAGTGTGTGATAATTGCATTACCATAGATAAACCCTAGTAGTGTATTTATACCAGTCGATATAGAGTACTTTTAAGACATGAAATCCGTATTAAATTGGGAGAATTCAAGGATATATAGGAGTATCTATTGCATCCTCTTAGGAGTATGATTACTTGCGACGCATGCCAATTCTTAGATTTTAAGGATTTCAAAAATACAGGAAACTAACTGATTTCTTATTTGGTCAGGTTTATGTGTCTTGCGAAACATGCATGGTCAATCTTAGCGAAGTCATCAAACTTCGCCAACAACTCTAGAACATGATGATGGTGGCATCACTGCTCTGTCTGTGTAGCTCCACTGCAGAAGTTGTTGAGTCCATGACCAAACTTCTAAGATATTCATATTCCAAACCGCAATTGTGTATTAGAGGGATATTGCATACATAGATATATAGTTCTTTCACACGTATTATATATCTACTGTTCATAGTTTTATGAAGCGGATGGAATACTATTCCTTTTGCATTCAAATAGGAATGTACAACACAATCTCATTTGCAGCAGAAACCAAATAAAAATGATATTGCACAAAAGCTAACCAGAATCGACCAAAATAAATAAAACAATGCCCTTGCACAACAGCATCATGCATTATTCGGGTGCCACGGCAAAATCTAAATTTTGTTCTTGATGGTGGAAGATCGCCTCCTTTGCAGGACTAGATGGTGTAACTGTAGCGTACGTTGGCAACATACCAAAGTACCATTTTCTTGAATTCTCACTACCTTTCCCAGGACTATCGGTGGAGTTGGAGTACCTTCTGCTGAAATACCAATCAGGTTTCATTTCTTGATGAATATTCAAGAAGATTGCCCGTTGGACTGCTTGTTGATAGCATATGGGAATATGCAGCAAATGCAGTAAGTTTAGTGGGATTTGAAGAGCAAGAGGCAAAGCCAAAAATTAGGAAAAGCACCAACGTTATATGTCAACAACACTACTACCAAACATAAACGACGTTGCACTTCATATCGCGTATACATACACTCCAAAGTACGAGTGATGATACTTCTCATCACAATATTATTAATCATGATAGCGAGTTTGAATATTGATAGGGATTTTACCACACATGCAAAAGGTTTAAAAACTCCTATATTACTTGCAAGAATGACAAGATTATTGTAGTATAAATAGTTCTCACAAGTTCGTTTTCACTAGGGATTATTAAATAATTCGAAGCAAACCAAATTCCAATTAATTATTGTAAAGTAGAAATTGAGATGATTGATTTTATAACCTACTTAAATTAAAATGAATTTAATTAATAAAAGTAAACTAATATGCAATATTAAAAATTAACAAAAAGGAAACAGTTTTGTAGAAATCAAATTAAAGAAAGCACTAGAGATCCACCGTTACCTTAACAATCCTATATAGTTCTCTCAATTACTTATGACTTATACATGCATATTTCGAAGTTAGGTTTTCCTAATATATGCCTACTTGGAACCCCAACATAAAGCGTATATCAAACATGTGATCCATCTGTGGTATTCAGATCAAATCTAAACATGCATGGCTTATTAAGTTCTGTGAAACATTTTGAAAAACCATGCAACCCTGAAGACGTGGTATTCATCTTAAGTGAACCTGCACATATTAATCACAAGAAGCCTTCGTCAATTTCAGGGACCGACCTCAGACCAAAATTGCATCAAATTACTTTTCTAAACATCCTAATAGTAGTAATCAAGCATTAAGACAATTAGATAGTTTAAACCAATGATTAATAACTCTTGAAAACCTGCATGCATATAATCCTAAGCAAATTGAAGAGAAACTACATATTCTTGTTAAGGCTTGTGGCCTCACCCTAGGAAAAAGAGAATTAGTTACGCATATTCATAATAAAAATCCTAAAGTTCTTTATTGAAATAATAAAAGATCGAAACACCTAGGATGAAAAAAGTCTGAAAATCTCTACACTTGGCCAATTTTCTCTCTTCAAGAACACACGGAGAAGAAGTTCCAAGAATAAAGCCGGCCAAGCTTATTTAACCTAGCAGAAATTCAATCCTCCTAATAAAAGGTCTTCCAATCGAACTAGGAAACTAAATAACTAAAATAAAATAGGAAACATAACCCTAAATCAAATGATAAAATTCGCCTAAAATCTGAGCAGCCACGTTTTGACACCTAAACTTAGGGCTGGAAAAAATCCCAAAAATCCTAAACCAAATCAAAAAAATCCCGATCCTAAACCAAAATTCCCGAAAGTTTCAGTATGGGATTCGGTTTTTCATCTCCATTTTTTTCGGTATTCCCATACCGAACCGAAAATAAATATTATATATATATTGTTTTTTAATTATAAGAAAATTATTTCAACCGTTCATTGTTTTGGATTTAATCAATGCCGTTCATTTGTTTTTAGGTCTGATCTCCCATTTCACTTCTTCCATAATCCATTCCATCGAACTCGAATCGAAGAAGCGCAGCCCTTGTCCCTGAGCCTCCTTCACCGTGCCTCTCTGTGTCGAATTCCGGTCAGCCACTGGCCCACCACCACACCATGCAGCCACCGCCACACCCCCCGCACCTCCCTCACCGTGCCTCTCCAGCCTTCATAATCCGTGCCTCTCCAGCCCTTGTCTCTGAGCCTCCCTCACCGTGCCTCTCTGACTCTGACTCTCCAGCCTTCCTTCACCACACAGCCACTGCCACACCACCGCTTTCTCTCTCAATCTATCTCTCTCGAATGATTTCTCTCACAGACAGAAGTCGCAGAACTCTCGATCCCAAATTAGGTAATTAATTTGGACTGATAACTTAACATGCCTCCATAATCCGTGAATGTCGGTGCTTAGAAAAGATCAGTGACCCACCCTCACTCACTCACTCTTGCCTTTTTTTTTCATTTTTCTAAATAATGTCAACTCAAGGCTTGTTTTTTCCTGCTGCCTTGGACGCGGTTGCTAACTTGCTCCTTCCATAACCACACAATTACACTTAGAGAAACTTGCACTTGTTTGCTCGATTATAAATTTTGTTCATAAATTCATTTATGTTTTGGTTTGATGCTAGTATCTAATCATTTTTTTTTATTTGGTCAGCCTTGATTACACCATGGTTTACCAGGTTGTTGATTTGAGGATTGAGGTAACTGTTGCTTTCTTTTGGTTGTTCTGTTGGCGGGTCGATACCGGGTTATTGATTTGAGGATTGAGGTAACAACTTTCACTTGTTTGCTCGATTATACATACTATGTAGATGATTACAATTCTAAATTTTTTAGAATTGTTTAATTTTGATTAGCTGTTATATTCTGCTTATGTGTTTAAATTGTTTAATTTTTTATTGCAAGTTTTCCGAATATCTGTTTCATTGTTTGGTAATGATGCTGGGCTGATGTTTATATTGATTCTATGTTGAATTTGCTTTGATCTGGTTGAAGTTGATCTCTGTTTATGGCTGATTACAATTCTAAATTTATCGCGTGTTGAAGTATCACATTTTAATATTTTATGCCGGAGACCATGCCATAAACTAAGTAGGACTAGACAGCAATTGGAAATAGTATTTTCGATTTTGATTTCTGTTATATATTTTGAGTTATTTTTCTTACAACCATATATTTTCTATGTTGAATGCTCAAATTTTTGAACCATTTATTTTATTTATTGATTGGAATTTGGATATGTGCTAAACTGTGGTTGTGATATATTAATGTGCATTGTTATTTTATTTGTTAGGATGGACGAGTCTAGTAGCCAATCTAGTACACCTATGGTCTCGGTATTAGGAAAACGAAAACAAACCCAACCTAGTGGTACCCTTCAACTAAGCACTCCTCACCTCAAGATTATTTGCATAATGATTATTATGAAGATTGTTGGGATGATGATCCAGATATGGAGGAGGATATTGTATTAGAACAAATAGAAAAAGATAGGGAAGAGGGCGAAGAGGAAGTAGAAGAAGTAGTGAGACAATGGGAGGGTCCTCCTCGGAAAAAGGGCAATAGGAGAAAGGGTCCAAGTTCGGCGTGGAATGATGCTAAGAGGGTAATGATCATCGATAATAACTGGGGAGAAATCTTTCATGGCTGAATGCAAGCATTGCAAACTCTTAGTACTGGCACACCCTATAATTCATGGGACGATGGGAATTCTTAAGCATTTGAGGAAATGCCTGGGTTCTAGTCTCTTTGAGAATGTGGATCCGAAGCAACCTACATTGACACAAGAGAGGATGGGAGGTCCGGTTGTCACTCACACTTTCAATCAAAAAAGACTTGATAGGAGATGTGTGAGGTGGATTATAATAGCGGAGATGCCTTTTAGGGTGGTTGATCAAGAGGACCTTCGAGATTTTATTCGTGACTTGAATCTAAAGTACAAACTTCCTAATAGGCATAAGGTGGCGGCAGCGGTTTTGGAGTTGTATGTTAAAGAGAAGGCTAAAATAAAAAGTGTGATCAAGGGGTTGAGAGTGAATATTACAACCGACACTTAGACCTCGATTCAAATGATAAACTACATGGTCATCACGGTCCATTTTTTGGACACTAATTGGAGGTTACATAAGAGGGTCCTAAACTTTGTCCAAGTTACTTCTCATAAGGGTGATGATATTAGAAGATGTCTAGAGGTTTGCTTGAATGATTGGGGCATAGACAAGGTGTTTAGCATTACCGTTGACAATGTTAGTGCAAATGACACCGCTATTGCATACATGAAAAAAGGACTCAAGTCAAATGGTACTCTTTTACTTGACGGGGCTCACTTGCACATGAGGTGCTCTTGTCACATCTTCAATTTGATGGTTCAGGACAGAATGACGGAGCTTAGTTGTGAGATTGATGCCATAAGAAATTGTGTGAAGTTTATACACTTATCCCCGGCAAGGTTAGAGTCTTTTAGGGAATATTGTGTCTTGTTGAGATTTGATAGGATGTCAAGTATCCCTTTTGATGTTGTCACAAGGTGGAATGCCACGTATGAAATGCTTAATAGTGCTTTCAAGTTTAAAGAAGTGTTCTCTAAGATGGCCTTTGAGTGTGACTCTTTTATTGCTTACTTTAAAGAGGAGGTCTCGAAAGAGGTTGATAGGGTGACAACAAAGGCCAAAGGCCAAGCAGATGGGTCCTCCGAAGGTGGATGATTGGGAAAGGTCGATGAGTTTTGCTCACTTTCTTAAAAAGTTTTATCATGCCACCTTGACATTGAGTGCAACCCTTACTCCAACATCACACTTAATACTTAGCACGGTGATTGCCTTTCAAGTGGAGATACAAGAACAAACTTTAAACGCCTCTAATGCCACTTTGCAAAGTGTGGCTACCTCAATGAAGCTCAAGTTTGACAAATATTGGGGTCACATTGAAAAAGTGAATCATATTCTCTTTGTAGCCCAAGCACTTGACCCTAGGTACAAATTTGATATGTTGGAGACAAATCTAGAAGAGCTCGGCTATGGATGGGACGAAATAAGGGAGGAGAAAGTAAGGTTAAAGGCTATGTAACCGAGTTGTATAATGCATATAAGGAGGGAGTGGTCCTTAGTAGTAGTAGTACTAGTAATAGTGCTACCTCAAATGTGGAGCTAAGATCAAGTGTTGTACTAGATGATGTGGGGGGTGTGATCGTAGATATTGATGTTGCTTTAAGGATGACAAAGAAGATCCAACAAAAGAAAGCTGAGGCACAACAAAATGAGATAGCCAATGAAGTCGATATGTACTTCAATGATCCACATCAAAGCCTAACATATGAGGGTTTCGATCTTTTGGATTGGTGGAAATGAAATTGTGCTCAATATCCAACTCTTAGTAAAGTTGATAAGGATGTATTGGCCCTTCCTAGTAGCATCATTGCTAGTGAGAATGCCTTAACTTCCTTAACACCTAAAACGGTTGAGGCTTTAGTGTGTACTAGTGATTGGCTTAGAGGAAAGGAATTTTGTTTCTACAAGGAGCCTACACTTGATGAATTCCATTTCTACAAGGAGCTTGAATGCTTAGAAAGAAGTAAGTAAACAATTTAATTTCCTCTTTTATTTTCTTAGTATTTATTATCAATTAGACTATAATTCAATGTAAATGATTTGTGGTTTATTGTTTTAAGCACGGCTAATTTGGGAGGTGAGGAGAATACAACACAAGAAAATGAAATGCCACCTCCACCTCCTCGACCACCTCAAGTTGAAGTTTAACGTCAAAATCAATCACTACCTCCATGACCACCCATTGTAAGGGGAAAGGCTTAACCATCAACATCAAGGGGAAGAGTACAAGTACCAACAAGAAGGGAGCAACCACAAGCATCAACAAGATCAAGGGGACGAAGGGGCCAAAGAGGCCAACAATCTTTATAAACTATAAGCTTTGCTTTTTTGCTTTTGGTTTGTAACTTAATTATTCAAGCATTGGCTCGTAACTAATTTTTTTGATTTTGGGTTTGTTACTTTATTTATTTTAAAACCTTGGCTTGTAACTATTATTTTTGCTTTTGGATTTGGTACTTAATTTATTTTGATTGCATGCATGTGTAGTGGGCAGATTGAAACTTAATTTATGAAATTATGTCAAATTTGTGCAGTGGGTAGTGGGTAAATTAGTAGAAATAGGCCTTGCTATTTGATTGGCAGATTAGGCCCAAAAGCATAATATGTCAAATTTTAGCCCAAAAACATAATATGTCAAATTTTAGTCCAAAAGCCCAAAAGCATTTCAGGATTCTTTAAAATTGGGATTCTCGAAAATTTGGTTTGGGATCGGTATTGAAATTGGGATTCCTGAAAATTTCGGTTTGGGAATCGGGACAAGGGTTTCGGTATGGGATCCCATACCGAATCACCCCTACCTAAAACTACTCCAAAACTGGTCCAATATAGCTGAATTCAAGGTTTGGAATATTCTGAACATTTTCCAGAAGGCCATGAACCCATCAGAGGTCATCTCGGGCTCCAAAAACGCAGTTTAAGCCCGAAAATGTCATTTTTCAACACTGCGCACTGATAATTTATTCCATCGCCAGAAACTAACCGCTTGGTAGAAAAATTCCAAATTTTGACACGAGTACGCTAAGAGACACATGAACGTCTCCCAATTTAAATCACTCTAAAATTCGTCCGTTTGACCACGCTTTGCCCCAAATGAAGTTGAATGTCCTATATTGAAAATATAAATCAAAGTATCAAAAGTTTACCAAAATAATTACCAAAACATAGTAAGAATAGGGTAAAATATATAATATGAAATTTACTCATCAAAATACCCCCAAACTTAGCTTTTTGCTTGTCCTCAGGCAAAATAAAACTAGAAAACAAAAAATAAAAAACTAACAAACTAGAAACTTAACTAAAACTAATTGACAAAAAATTTCACCTTCAAAGTTGCAATCCATAAAACACGTTAAAAATTAGAACATCGTTTCAAAAGTTCCAACCAATCCCACCACAGAGTCTAAGCCATTTAGAATCAATTAGAAAAGAATTCACAAACTTCCTTTGGTGTAAAGTGAACCAACATAGTTTAGGAGACTCGACTAAAACCCTTATCTCTCGTCCTTCTTTATTTCACACGTACTAACTTTAAATATAGCTATTTTTATTTTTCTTTTTCTTTTCGATTTTTCTCTTCTTCTTTTTATTTTTTTTTATAGATATATATATATATATATATTTTCAGTAACAGCAGTGGTCGTGCAATGTCGGTTCCCTTAAGTTTTCTATCCAACCCATGTAATGAGCTTTAGGTCAATGACTCCCAAACCATAAAGGCTTTAGGGCACTAGGTGTAGAATACCCCTAAGGACTTACTAGCTGGAGCTGAAAAGGCTACGAAACCAATTAACCACCCTGCCCCATGCCAAAACTCTACCGTTTGACTGAAGAATCACTGCTGATTAGGCAAGATTGGCCTAGTTACTAAGCAAAGCCTCGAGTGGAACAATTATTAATTTATAACACTTACTAACTCTATTTTATATAGAACAAAAATTAAAATACACTTAGACAGAAATTAAGTGTTTCAATCTCACTCCCCACAAACCATGTTAGTGTGATGTGCAAATTTCAAAGTACAATTCATGAATTAGTGTCTAAGCAACGACAAATAGAAAAGACTCTATTATGAGATTAATCTTCCTCATGTCCATTTGTTCTAACTTCTAAAATATTCTATGAATATTAACTTAGAAAGAATAAAAATTTTAACTTGACACAAAAATTAAAATCCTAAAATTTTACATTCCCACCTCCAAACTTATTTCACACTTTGTCCTCAAGGTGTGGAAAAGAAAATAAAATAAAAAAGACAACAAATTAAATAAAATTAAATTAAAGACAAAAACGAAACCTGAACTGAACATAACAAATAAATAAAAGAAAAACAAAAGAAAAACCAAAGAAAGGTAACAAAATAAATAAATAATTAAAGAAAGGAAAACATGCACCTGGTGTGAATCACGACGTGAAAGGATCCAAGGTCTTCAAGAGTCACTCATTAGGCCATGGAAAACCAAGGAAAAACATGAATAATGGCCTACGGAAATAGAGACAAAGCAACCCATTTTGCTGCTCACACACACGACACGCGGAAACACCAGAAACCCTAGCTGTATTTGACCAAGCTTCTGCATCCATTCTCCTTGAGCCCAGAGCCAACGGCTCCCTGTCCCTCCAATTTCAAATTGTCCTTTCATCTTTAGATACAGAACGCACGCGATTTAGACACGTGGCATGCATCTGTGCAATGGACTCCGTAGGATTCCTCTAACACATGCATCTCATCCGCCCATTTTCATTTCAGAGTATTTTGTTAGCAACCGGAGGCCTCTGTCCATATCAGAAATAGCTCTCCCATTTTTCTCACCCCTCTTTCTATCTAGAAAATCAGAAACGGCTCTCACTTCACCAGCACATGCACACCAACGCCCATTATTGCAAACCTTCCATCTCACAGCAGCTGCTTCATCCTCTCTATGCGCTGCATACGTTTGCAACCCATAACCCAGCAACAAACAAACCTCCGCGAGTACCCAGCTGTGGTGGAGTGAACTGACAAGCTAAGATGCTTAAGCCAAAATCCTCCTCAATTTGTGCTATTGTCGTTTCATCTTTATGTATTTGAGTGAAATGTGACAAGATCTAACAAACACATGCATGTGTTTTTATCCGTATGAGGTCCCCTAAACTTGCAAATCTAAGCCTATAACTCCACCCTGCATGCGTATAATCTATGCGTCTCGTTTGTGTGCAAAGGTTCTCGAGCTGGAAGCTGAACAACAGCAAAGACAAGGAAAACATTGAAGACATCGCGGATCCGAGTCATGCAGAGGTAAAAATTCTGTATGACCCCCAAATGCGAAAATGCTGCCTCATTTACCCCCAAACTTAAATACTGGCATCCGTGGTACTTTCGAATGTAAAAGCGATAAATCCCAGAAGTACCCCACATTTGTTGAGATATGAACATTTCCACTGTAACTCATACACGTGATTGCCGTGTTGCAGGAATGACCCCAGATTGGCAAAGACACATTTGGCTGACCAAACTATCGGCCTACAAAGAAGAATGGCCGCGTAGCAGGATAGAGAGTTATAACATCCCATCCCTTCTTGTGTATTACAGATGGGGTTGATGTTGATGTAGATCTACTACTGGATGCATGATTCCGTCTAAAATAATATCTCTGTGCATTAATTCTTGTTTTTCTTGTTTGCTGGCTGCATAAAAATCAAGTGTTGAAATCAGAGATAGAATGTTGAAGATACTATCGGTAAACTAAAATAAAACAAGTAAAAGCAAATTTTTTTTTATTCTCTGTTTCTATATGTTTTGTTTTTTTTTTTTTTTTTTTTTTTTTTTTTTTTTAATTTATTTAATGATAAACTAAGAAATAAAATGCAGCTCGAAACTGAATGTAATGAAATAAAAATGGAAGATAGTAAGGAAAAGGTTAGAGAATTGGGTTGCCTCCTAATAAGTGCTTTAGTTAACGTCCATAGCTAGACGTTGCCGAAAGCTGGTAATCAAGTTACTTGTTCCTTCAAAGTTGATGACTCGCTTGCACTAAACTTCCTTAGAAATGGCTTTAGTAGATACTTCTTGACCTTGAGCACACAACCCTTGCCCTCTGTTTCAATGTCCACGTTACCGTTTTGAAAAACTTGCTTAACCATATAAGGGCCTTTCCACCGAGACTCTTGTCTCCCTGGAATTAACTTGAAACTGGAATTCAACAACCACACCTTTCTACCAGGCTGTATTTTCTTACAATTTGGGCTGCCTGGCAACATTCCATGTTTTTTCTTAATGTTAATTGGTTGGTCATCATGCAGCACTCTTTGCTGTCACTTTTCAAGACATTAACTACTCATTCTTAGCAGTGGGGAGTGGAAAGAGGACCATCCAACCAGAGTGCAACAGATTGACGCCATGTCTACCATGGCTGCACAGATTTCTAACTTGAATAAAAAGTTTGATAATTTGATGATTGTTAAATCTGTGAAGTCTTTTGATGTGGTTTATGAAATATGTGCAGGTATACATGCAAGTACTGAGTGCCCGAACATTGGTTCTTTTTCGAAGTATATGCAAGAGCAAGCAAATCAAGTGAATTATTTTTCTCGTTAGCGGAATAACACATATTCGAACACTTACGGTTTGAATATCATGAAGTAGACAAAAGGACATATACATTAGTACAACACAATCAAGTTGTTCAGTAACACACGGTATAGAGAGTAGATGTAATAAAGAGGGAACAAGTAAGCAACGATGTAGAGGCAGAGAAAGGGTGAGATACACAGTTCCTGCTCCAAGAACCGGGGCAGTGGAACCATTAGCAGTTGCTACACACTTTCGATGAGATGTTGTCATGCACTAGAATAAATTCTTATCATATGTCATAATGATCGGTTGCACCAGAGTCCAGAATCCAACCTGTATGATGCTCAGTGTCTGAGGCTAAAAGAACACGCCCCATAGTACCTGTGTTGGATGACGAGTCACTAGGATCAGTATGAGTCAACAACATTTGACTTGGATCCGCAGAACTAGGCCCCGCTTCCTTGTTGGGTGGTGCGGCAGCAGCAAGGGAAGCACAGCCTCCATTGGTTTTATTATTCGCTCGCTCCTTAGCACGCAAGCATTTCTTCAACTCTAGAAACCACTCAAGTACCCCATACTTTGAAAAACATGTATCTTGACGGGTTTGACCACATAATGTTTACTTCAAATCATCTTTGTTTTCTCAGGTAAAGGGACAATAATTCGAAGATGAATTGGAAGAGAATGGTGGACAGGAAACTGTAGGTGGTCGAGACACCATGGCCACAGATGACGCCCCTCCTTGGTTGCTCATAGTACTCCCACCCATCATGGTGGCATGTTGTTGTGCTTCACGCCTAACAATAGAAAACACCTCATCGACAGCTGATAAGGGCTGAGTTTGTAAAATATCACTACGTACCTTATCAAATATTTCATCCAAACCTGCCAGGAAGGCATACACACAGTCCAATTGGATTTCTTCTCAGAGTGTTTAAATTAATGACACATTCCATCTTGATTGGCCGACACTGATCCAACTTTTGCCAAACAGATTTGAGATCAGCATAGTATACACCAATAGGATGTCCCTCATGAGAAAGTCGGAACGATTTCACCTTCAACTCATAAATCTATGAAATATCAAACCCATCATAATACGTACGAGCAACCTCTTCCCATACTTCTTTAGTCGTGCGAAGGTGGATGAAAAAACCCGTGATAGTAGGATCCATAGAGTTGATCAGCCACCCCTTCACGATTGCATTCCCCGTCTCCTATGTTTCATATTTGGCACTGCCTTCACTAGGTTCCTTGATGCTTACAGTCACGAACATTTTTTTACCACGTTCAGCAATATGCATCTCCAAGACCTTGGACCAAAGAGCGCAATTTGATCCATTAAGTGTCACGGTATTAGGTACGGCTAAAGCATTATTCTGAATAACTACTGAACTTAAAACTGAGTTGTTGGTTGGACCCTGCGCACCACCCTCCAACTTCAGTCTCGGGTTTTCTTCAGCACTCGCCATCTTGACTCACGAACACCATGTAGTAGCACGGTATGAAGCAAGAACAGCCCCTGCGACCTATTCACGATACACGGCTAAAGCAGGTATGTCTCCTGCAGAAAGATCATAGCAGTAGCAGCGGAAAAAATATTTTTTACAGTTAGGGTTACGGCAAACCAGGCTCAAATGCCAAATAGAACTTTTATGGCTTAATTTTCATTTTATTACATAATCAAAGATATATACATACAAAGTCCTTGTACTACAAGGAAACAAGAAAGGACACAAAATATATGCTTCCTAATAAAGGACACCTAATATTCACATAATCTATACATACCCTTTTTACAAAATAACGCACGTTTACATATATTGCATATTACTTATTGTGTCCTAACTTAGTTTAGGACATTACTTCCATACCTTAGATCATACCAACTCATTCATAGTATATTATCTCCAGAATATAAAGTCAAACTCATGAATAAATAAATCTTGCCCTATTGTTGGAATTGGTCAGTGGAAAAGGTGTGTGGGTGTTGTGGATGGACTGCAATAAGGATGGTGTGAGGTGAAACAGACTATGACTCTGCCCATTTTCCAGGTGTCGTTCCTGGGATGTGGCCACGTTACTGTCCTGCTTGGTTCTATTTGGGAGCCTCTTGGCGTGACTATTTGTTTGCATTTTTTTTTTTAACAATTTAGTGGAGTTTCTCTCCTTGTGTCTTACCTTTCATTGAGAAAATTGGGAGTGGTTAGGGTTAAGAGAGAGCATTTTTTTGGTAGTTTGGATTTGCATACTTACAACTGGCTTAGGTTATTAATGTAACCATTTGTATGAATCGACGATATAGACGTTTGGTTTGTTCGGATCAAGTTTGTCGTTTGCATGATGACTTATTTACAAGTAACTCTAAATTTGCCCAAATCTTGACTTGTCAACACCCGAAATAGCCAAAATTTGCTACGTTTTTGACATTGAATTGTTGTCCTCGAAAATGGCCAAAATTGAGTCTACTCAACCAAGAGATCTGTCGACTTACCTAAGAGATCAATTTGTCAACATTGTGGCCATAAAAAATTTCAAACAACATTGTATCTCTCAACTTGCCTAAAAGATAAAACTGTTAGCGTTGAAAATTACTAAAATTTGGTTTATTTTGCAACAACACATCTTTGTATTTGTCTAAATAATTAATTTATCAACGTCAAAAATGGCAAAAACTTGATCTACTTCAACAACAGCACATCTCTCTACTTACCTAAAAGATCAATTTATCAGGTTCGAAGATGGTTAGAATTTGATACACTTCTCTGACAATAACGTATCTTTGTACTTACCTAAATGATACAATTTTGTCGGCAGTAAAAAAAAAGGGCAAAAACCTAATCTACTTCTCTAACAACAATGTTTCTCTCTACTAAACTAAAAAGATCAATTTGTCTACATCTAAAATTGCTAAAATTTGATTCACTTCTCTGACAACAACGCATCTTTGTACTTGCCTAAATGATCAATTTTGTCGGCGTTAAAAATGGCAAAAACCTTATCTACTTCTCTAACAATAACGTGTCTCTCTACTTACCTAAAAATATCAATTTGTTAGTGTCAAAATGGCTAAAATTATTCACTACTCTTACTTTGTACTTACTTAAAAGATCAATTTGTCAGCCTAAAAATGATTGAAATTTGGTATACTTTCACCACAACATATCTTTTATCATCCCTGTATTAGTGATCAAGATTTATGTGATATGGAATAATGTCAAATCACATATAGAAATCTATGATCCCTGTAATGCTTCTCATGTTGAAGCAAATCTTACAAACATAGCTTCATCCAGTTATTCTGGCTAAAGATTTCCTAGATGGATCTTCACGTGGCTTCGAGGGTATCTCCTTTCGTAGAACAATTAGCATAAGGCCATACATGGGTATCTTCATACTCATACTTATCAACCTATGTATCACACTATCGGGCCCTACGAAGTAGTGAAGGCTTTGAAGTGAAATCAAAGTTCATATTTATGAACATAAGATACCTTTGAGTCTCAGATTTGAGAACTATTTGCGTACTATAACCTAAAGCTTTGTAAAGTTTGACATGTGGTTAGCATCCATACGTTTAAGATTCTTGAGCAGTCAATGTTCAATAAACTTGTTCAACAGACAAGCACCTATGGATCCCCCACGTGTCCAACATGTGCCGCACAAGACCATGCTAACCTTAATACAACATTTTTGGATAGTCAATGTTCATTTGACTTTCAAATGGCTAGGAAATTTTTCTAGGACATTGCTTCCGTACCTTAAATCCTATCAACTCATTCATAGTATATTATATCCAGACTATAAATTCAAACTCATGAATGAATAAATCTTGCCCTAATATTAGTTATATAGAATATGATGAGTGAAACCTTTATCAATGGCTAAGGGGGTGGGTATCCTTTACCTACACTGTTAGCCGCTCATATCTCTTTACCCACCTCATTTTGTACACTTTTAATATATTGGAGCATCTTCAATGTGACGATACAAATTTGAGATGCACAAATTATATTACTTCCCATTTTATTACATTTCTCCAAGGTGTAGATAGGAGTTCTATGCCAATAGCAGAGATGAAAATTTAAGATCCAATTCCATTTCTCTCTTTGATTGGCAAGATCAGCACCACCAAAGGATGTAAAAGAAAGATGTAAATTTAGGTTTTTTGTTTACATTTTCCAGCCAAGATGGATTTTACATCTCT